GCCAGTGAGCCTTAGGGATCCTCCTGTGTCTGCCTCCCCAGCACTGGGATAACAAGCATCTGGCACCACATCTGGCTTCTTTGGGTCAGTGCTGGCAATCAAACCCAAGCCCGCACACGTGTACGTTACTGACTGAGCCATCCATCCTCAGCCCCACTGCCCTGATTCCCTTCAGTTTTCCTGCCCTTCTCCCAGCCCCAGCACCGTCTGCCTTAAGCAGTCCAATGGGCTCTTATTCCTGGGCTTTTGTGGAGCTGCGAGGTGCATCCGCTTACACTGTGTGGTAGCCTGATTTCACAAAGCACATTAGTTTCTGTGAAGCTCATTTCAAGCCATAGAACATTCCCAGAGCCCAGACTCTAGAAGGTGCCCTGGCAATCATTAACGCACCTAACGGTTGTTCCAAGACCACAAAACCCAGTACCTCTGCTGCAGGAGAAAACGCTGAGGGGAAGTGAGGGCAAAGGTGAGAGCTGGCTTTCCTAAGATGGAGAGAGCCAGAGGAGAGGCCAGAGAGGCCACGTCACTCCCCAGGGACTGAACACCTCGGCGGCTTCCGAATCAAATCGACGTAACAGGAGACAACTTTCTCTTTAATCTGAGACCATAGGTAAATATGACCTGCTTCTGGGGTGGGGAACTGGAACGGGCAAATGGGTTCCTGGGGCTCTAAAGGATTCGTACCAGGACAAAAGTGGGGATCTCCCAGTTTCTTGGCATGGCTTACTATCTTCTCTCACTTGGGAGCAGCTGCCAGGCTGTAAAAGAGAAAGACTTCCTCTCCAGTGAATTAACAGCGATGTGTGCTGGCCTGGTACTTTCCGGAGCGTTCTGCAGCAGGAATTATACTGCTGCTTATGACCATCCTTTATAGCAAATTAGAAACCCAGACAGTGAGAGCTACAGACCCCTCCATGTATTGTTTCAAACCCCAAAGTCCCTGCTTTCCAGCTTCCCATGCCGCCCACACAGCGGCATGGATGGGACCTCCCCTCCTCCCATCTTGTGCATACCATGGAAGACCTGAACATGACCTTCTTATTACAAAATACTTTTAGATTTATTGAGACTAGATCTTGCTATGCTGTCCTGGATGTCCTGGAAATGCTATTCAGACTAGACTGTCTCAGAACTTAGGGCAATCCTCCTGCCTCTGCCTCCCCAGTGCTGGTGTTAAAAAAATGCTAGCATCCCTGCCTATACTCCGTTCTAAGGATCCTTTACAAAGTGGACATTGAGTGAACCCAGGGATGTGGAGATGTCTCAGTTGGTGAAGTGCTGGTCATTCAAGCACTGAGTTTGATCCCCAGCACAGACATAAAGAAGCCAAGTATGGTGGTGCACATCTGTCACCTCAGCACTAGACGGCCAGAGACAGGAGGACCCCGGAGGCTCAGCAGCCAGCCAGCCTGGCTGAATCAGTGAACTCCGGGATTCATGACATACCCTACCTTAAAACATGAGGTGGAGAGCGATTGAGTGAGACACTTGAGGCTCACCTCTGACCTCCAGAAGCATGTGTATACAATGCTTTTGCACACATATGTGCACATACAGGAACATACACACAAGCACACACAGTGATGAATCCTGCTGTTCTGATTGCTTCAACCTACAGATCCATCTGTCCTTTCCCTTCTGGGAAAGTGACCCACTCGCAACACATTTTCCCATCTGGATACAACAGGGGTGCTCCTGGGTTCCTGAAATCAGGCCCACTGCTCGGCAGAGTCTGCACGGGCATGACCCTGGAGAGATATCCACATCTAATTTTTTATACTCTCCTCCAATTTTCTAAGTTATTTTTGTTATTTCAAAATCCAGCTCTTTATAATAAATTTATAGGGTGCCTGGGGGAAACTCCATTCATATTCCATGGTATCTCATTCACGGCTCCTCCAGGAGAGAAACATGGAGTTTACCCTGCCATCAGCTGGCAGCGCTCCCACTTGTGAAGAGGCTGTATAGTAATGACAAGTAAATTCCCGTGGGGGCACCGCATACTTGGGGAGAAAGGCCTACAGAGTAAGATGTGGGGGTACTTCACTGCAGGGGGAACACCCAAAGAGCCCAGTGCTACTACATCACCAATTCGTGAAGCCTGTATTGTGAGATGGGCATAAAGCATGTTCAAGTGATTTTTTAAAAAACAATTCTTTTGTATGTGTGTGTGTGTGTGTGTGTACACCATATGTATGCAGTTAGCTGAGGAGGCCAGAAGAAAGTATCTGATACGGTTCCTGGGAGCTGAACTCTGGTCCTCTGTAAGAACAGCAAGTGCTGTTAACCCTGGGACATCTCTTAGGTCCTTCAAGTGGTTACTGCATACTCCATGCTTACACCCTGCATCAGTCACCATTTCTTCCCAGAGCATGCGAATGCCCAGCAAGCCTTCAGGAAGGGAGAGCATGTGGGATCCACTGCCCAGCACGCAGGCAATCATTCAAGCCATGAACTGACCTACGGGTAGGTATATCCAGCCCTTACTCGTCATCTCCTTAGTCCAACCACTCATCCTTATGACCCTTTGCCACAACCACCGCCACTCTGAGGGCTCTTAGAGAGCATCCTTTCAGCAGTTCTGTGCTTATTTAAAGGGGAAGAGGAGCAGGGAGGTGGCCTCCGAGACGGACTAACCACACCCCCATCCTTGGCCTCTTTAGGGCAGAGGTAAGATGTTTCAAGGAGCTCTTGCCTTTCTACCTCACAGAACAGGGAGTTCAACTCACTGCCCCAGGTCTTGGGGACTGAGTGTAACTGACATCCAGTTCTAGTGTGTGAGAGAGACAGCAAGAGACTTTTCAGTCCACAGAGGAAGGAAAAGCATCAGGCTTTTCACTGCTGTGTCGCGGCAAGTGCTCTTCACTATGAGGCTGTATCTGAAGCCCCAAGAAACTCATTCAGTGAAGAAAGGCACCCGGCTCCTCAGTCAGGACAGTTTCCCCAAATGTTCTACGTCTGTTGGGACTTCTGATTTTTTTAGTGGTCTCCTGTTTCTTCTGCCAAGAATTCTCTTCAGTTCTGTTTTTCTTTTTTTCTTGACTGGGCTAATTCTCATGAATCCATCAAGATTCAGTGAAGTCTTTGTCTGTGCCTTTATACTCAGGACATGTTATTTGTTTATCTGAAGTTCACCCACATACTGACTTGATGTGTTCTGTTGTGTAGGTTAGACACAGCCCAAGAGCCTCAGTGAATAGACGGGTAGGACCATGTTTCACTCCCTAGTCCACGTGACCAGGTGCAGGCCCACATCCACCCATAAGGAAGGGAGGGCTTTTCTAAACCACTGCGCATCCTTTATCTGTGTACCCCTCCTTCTGCTGGGCACACTCCAACCCTTGCCATCTTCTGTTTTAGAGGTTATAGAACGACACTCTTCCTAGCTAAGTACAGGGACCACATCTTTTAAAAATCTCTGGATCCTAAGCCCCAGTACCTGCCATATAGTAACGGATCAGAAAATGGCTCTTGGAATATTTGTTGGATAAATCAAAATTGCTTTCTAAGGCTGGGGAGGTAGCTCGGTTATTCAGGTGCTTGCTGAGACAGCCTGCTAACCCAGAACCCACACGAAGGTGAAAGGACAGAACCAACTTCATAAACTGTATTTTGACCCTCTACCCTTGCCCCACGCGCGTGTGTGCGCACGCGCGTGCGCATGCACACACAACACACACACACACACACACACACACACACACACACACACACGCAGAGGAAGGGGAGAGTTAAAAAAAATTAAAGTGGTTTCAATAAAGATGCAGCTCTCGGCAAGAACCCTCCTGTCTTCTCAGACATACTAAAGCCTAAACTCTGTATGGCCATTCTGACATACAGAGGCCTGGGCAAGAAGTGACTTGAACTGGTGGGGACTAAGAATTAGTCAGGACAAGTTTCACTAAGTGAGACCATATCTCACAGAGGCCCACAGAGAAACCTCTGCCCGGGGTCCAGTTTCTTAAACGTTTGGGGAAAGACAGTAAAATGTTAAGAACCTTCTGGCGTGCTTCCCTCCATCCCTTGATGGTAAAGAGTTTGCACACCCATTCATTTACTTATTCACTTGCTCCTCTACACACTCCCTGCCTTTAGAACCCACTGCACACAGAGCCCTGGCAGCCCCTCCTCTCTGGCACACACTCCAAGCAGTTGCTTATCCCTGGCTCTGCACACGGCTTCCCCTCGGTCCTGTCCTTGTACACTCAGGCCACTTTTGAAAGGTGTCCCCTCCTTCTGTATGGCTGATGTGCTCAGTGCTGACCTCCAAGTCTGACAAGAAGACTGATGAGGCAGCCCTGGGAAGGGCTCCGAGGTCACCAACCGACGCTCCATCAGTCTCTAGCACTCTGAAGGCCAGGGACTCTCTAGGATGATGCCAGTTGCACAGAAAGGTCATTTCTGCGATTCCTAGATCACTCCCGAGAAGCACCAACTGGCCAAACCCTGTGCAGGCCAACCTTCCCGCAGAAGAGCATCTTAAAAGACCGGGTAAGGGACAGGGCTTGTGGACCGTGACAGGGTTCTAGCCTAGACCATCACAGACAACCAATATGCAGCTAAAGCAACATCAGCTATGGGTCACTGGACAAGGTCCTTCTGGTCTCAAAGCTTCAGGCAGCTGTAATACTGAGGGTGCCCTTCTTATAGAGATGTGACCTTCATTCAGTGATCTTATGTTTAGAAGCCACTCGACAAGGACCAGGGTGGGGGGAACTGCTTTCTGGATATGTACATAAGCTCAGAAAAAAAAAATAGATCTTGTATAGGATAGCATTACTGTTAACTGTCTTTATCAAGAATTTGTCCAGATTATGCCGGGCGGTGGTGGCGCACGCCTTTAATCCCAGCACTTGGGAGGCAGAGCCAGGCGGATCTCTGTGAGTTCGAGGCCAGCCTGGTCTACCAAGTGAGCTCCAGGAAAGGCGCAAAGCTACACAGAGAAACCCTGTCTCGAAAAACCAAAAAAAAAAAAAAAAAAAAAAAAAAAAAGAATTTGTCCAGATTAACTATAGCAATTCATGTCCAGGTGACTATTACACACATACTAAGGTCCTGAAACATGTTAGTTCCTTAGATGATAGAATGAAACTTTTCTATGATGCTGTATTTAAGATTCCTTGTTCTTTTCCTTTTGAGATGGGGTGTCTTACATGTCCTCAACTGGCCTCAAACTGTGCTGGTTAGTTTTGTCAACTTGACACAAGCTAGAGTCATCTGGAAAGAAGGAACCTCAACTGAGAAAATATCCCATCAGTTAGCCTGTAGGTAATGAGCCTGTGGGGCATTTTCTTGATTGATGATTGGTGTGGAAGAGCCCAGCCCATTGTGGGTGGTGCCACCCCTGGGCAGGTAGTCTTGGGGTATATAAGAAAGCAGGCTGAGGAAGCCATGGGTAACAAGCCAAACATATCATCTCATCCATCCATGGTTTCCTGTTTAGTTCCTGCCTCCAGGTTCCTGCCTTGAGTGCCTGCTCTGACTTCCATCGGTGATGGAGTGTGAGCTGAGAGAGTGGTAAGCTGCAATAAACCCTTTCTCCTCCAAGCTGCTTTTGGTCGTAGTGTTTATAAAAGCAACAGAAAGCAAACTAAGAAAATGAGCTTGACCTTCTCCTCCTAAGTGCTCGGGACATAGCCATCAAACCCCATGCCCTTTGTGTTGTTGGTCTGTTTTGCTTCTATTTTTGAGACAGGGTCTCATCTATGTAGACCAGACTGGCCTCAAACTCATAAACACCCATCTTCCTCTGCATTCTGAGTGCTGGAATTAAAGGCATGTGCCACCATGTCCAGCTCCCTCATCCTTTTATAGCATGCTGGAGCTGGAACTCAGGACCCCGTGCATGCTAGCCAAGCGCTCTACCCACTGAGCCACATGCCCAGTGCCTCAGATTCATTCATGGAAGCTGACCTTCACTCAGTCTGCTTGGAAAGAAGCCCTCTACTTCCATGGCTACCTTGTTTGGAACAAGCCCTTTCCTCCCTCAACACTCTCATTCAGAATATCTGTGGCAGTACTGTGGAATATTCCAACACGTCCTCTTGACCTCTATCCATAAACAGCTTTCCTCACAAAGAGATGTTCCGAGTTTAGGAGCCTTGCTATTTTCAACAAAGAATTAATTGCAAAGTAATTAAGTTTAGAGCAGGGGAATAGATGAACCCTGTCTATCATAAAGGGACAGTGTGGATGGTGACATAATAAAGTGATGCTTTAGATTAACACACACACACACACACACACACACACACACACACACACACACACAGTCTCTTTTCTAAAGTGCACAAGGAAACCTCCCATCACTTATATTGACAAGATAAATCTAAGCTGCTTAAAGAGGCCCTTAATTTTTCTCTCATTAAGTTGCAGGGTTAAGGACTTGACCCTCGATGCCCATGGAAGCGGTGTTAGCTTTTCACCTTGGAAAGTTCCTCGGAGGACCTAACCCCACTGACAGATACAGAACTGAGCATCCTGGCCACATTCTCAACTTTCTTCTCTGCCTACAGAACAGACAAAGCACCGAGGAGATGCATGTGTCTGTCCCTTTGCCTCCGAGAACCAGGATTCAGGATTAGTCAGTGGGGGCAGTGGGGCAGGGAGCGTGGCTGAGTCGGTGACAGTGGTGAGCATGTTTTACCACTGGATCTTGGAGGCTTAATCTGCTTACTGACGATTAGGCTGATGCCACCCAAACATTTCCTTCAGTCATCCCAGGGCCTGAGTAAGGAGTTGGCAGCTCTTATCACATTAGTCATCTTTGGTGATGGTGGGGAAGGTACAGGAGAAGTCTGTGGGGCAGGATGCTCTCCCCATCCCTGCATTGTGATTAACACAACACATTGCCAAACACCCCGTTTGTGCTAGAAACTAATACTTGGTTTTATATAAAAAAAAAAAGATGAGCTCTTAAAGAGATCCAAGAAGAAGTAAAGGAAAGAAGAAAGCAAAGAGACAAGTGGAAAGATCAGAATGAAGTCCATAAAAATATTAATTTGTAGAGTAATTGGTATAGTTTTCCATGTATAGTGTCTATAATAAAATAACTGAAGTTGCCTTTAGAGAAACATCGGTCCTAATAGGTATGTTAAAAGCCCTTCCTGCCCTCAAAGAGTTTGACTTTGGACACTAGGCAGCATAGCTGTATGATGAAAACCATGAGTCCACGATCATCGGGGCAAAGGGTAACATTTGGGTGTTTTTAGAAGCTGTTTACATGCTTCCTTCCCTCTGATGTCCCCTCAAGGTTTCAGCCTGCAGGTGAGTTGTGGGAGGGGCCTTGGCTGTGTGTGGTTGCAGAGAAAGAGGATGTTCCTGCCCTGTCTTTCCATCACACCCATCACTACCCACAAACACGCTTGTCATACCATCTAGGTGGCTCCCTGAAGATGCTGGAGGCATACTCTTATAGGGTGGGGACAAGAGGCTGAGATACAAAAGAAAAAAAAAATCAAAACAATCATCAGGTTTTCCCTCTGCTGCTTCCTTTCCCTAGTCCTAAATACACGGACATGGGAGGTTTTGCTTAAATGTCTCAGAAGCAGAGTCTTCCCTTAAGACAAGAACCTGAAAAAGATGACTAAGAATGCATGGGGAGAATGAGGACTGGTCACCTGTGCTCCAAATCGATCATCTAGTCAGAAGGGCCCTAAACCAAGGCTAGCAGAGACCAGAACAGCAGGCCTTCTGGGCCAACCATTAGTTCTACTCCGTGGCTGCCCTTTGGTTGTAGCACAATGGTGGCTTGACCCCTTGCCCATCAGTATCCTGGACTCACACGGCTCTGTGATGCAGAAGGAGTACATGTGTGACATCACATTGCTTTTCACACTGACCCACATGACATCTTCCTGCGTGTGAGTTTAATGGGTCATGATTCCTGAGCATCTCTGGGTGACTTTGGGAGGCTGGCCATACTCATTGTGAACCCACGGAGGCACGGCCGAGTTTTCTTCCTAAAGTTCTGGATGACTCACTTTAAGTTCTCAAAGGGTCAGCAAGATGGCTTAGCGGGTTAAGGCTCTTGCCTCCAAGCCCCGGGAGCTAGGTTCAATGCCTGGAACTTACATGGTGGCAGGAGAGAATCAATGCTCCCAATTTGTCCTCTGACCTCCACAAGTGGGCTGTGGTGTGTATTCGCTCCCCAACACAAGTACACACACACTACATAAAAGAATGTGTAAGTTCTCAGGTCTTTCCCCCATTCTATGATAATATTTGTGTGTCCCTTTCCTAAAGAAAGAGAATTGAGAAAGAACAAATTGTTCCCCGTCTACACAGTGGCGACAACTCATACCCTTGTATCAAATGATCCACAGGACATGCCAGTTGGTTTTATCTGAAGACTAATGCTGTTTCAAGCCCCAAATAAGGAATTTTGACACAAAGTGGAAAATGAGGCAAGGGTAAGCAGAATGCTGGTTGGAGTTTTTTCTGAAATTTCTGCGGACTGGAGTTTGGATTTAAAATTTTCCACTCATAACTTACATTATCAATTTGTAAAACTATGGCCACAAGTATGTTGGGAAGGACGACCCTGTGACTTCTGAACAGTTACTTAACTACAGTGTGATTTAATCAAAGGTTCCAACAACCACAGGGGCAAAAGGCCAGGGAAGGAGCCGACTCAGACAGGCAGCGCTGTCTTTAGCATGCAATTATTATGCACGCGAGTCAAGGGCATTGGTTGAAATCAGAAAGCAGGCAATCCAGCAGGAGCTATTTTCTTTGGTAACTAAGTCCTCATAGAACAAGCTTCCAGAGTTAGGCTTCAAATGAGAACTTCCCTCTATTCGCTTTTACTAATCCACAAATTCCTCCCTTTAAAGACATGGTTTTTGTTTTGTTTTCAGGGGGAGCCGCTGCATAGCCCTGGCTGGCCTGGAATCCACTGCTTAGACCAGACTGGCCTCAAATTCATAGAGATTCACTTGCCTCTACCTCTTGAGTGCTGGGATTGAAAGTGCATACTGACATATCCAGCCCTTTAAAAATTCTTTGAAAAAAAAAAGGGCGGGGGTTGGGGGTGGGGTGGGAGGGTGATGGTTCAGTGGGTAAAGGACTTGCTATACAAGCTTGAGGACCTGAGTTCAGATCTCCAGCACCCACATCATATAAAGCTGGGCGTGGTCATGTCAGTCTGGGAGGGGATGTAGAGAGGCCATTTTTAGAGCTCACTGGCCCTTTAGTCTAGCCAATTAGTGAGTTCCAGGTTCAATATGAAACCCTGTATCAAGATAGAGTGATAGAGGTGATAAATGAGGAGGGCTAGCAACCACCCCTGGCCTCATATGCCCATGTGGAAGTGAGTACATCTCTCCCTTTACACACACACACACACACACACACACACACACACACACACACACAGAGAGAGAGAGAGAGAGAGAGAGAGAGAGAGAGAGAGAGAGAGAGAGAGAGAGAGAGAGAGAGAGGAGAGAATATTCTATTTTGTAGACTTAAGAATTAGGCAAGTCAGGAGATAATTTCTCCAAAGGGATGATAATTTATTTGCTTAATGATCCTACAAGGACCTAATAAGCATCACCCCGCTTAGAAATAATAATACTTCGCATTTATGTAGAATTTTTCTCCAAGGAGAGCCAAGTATATTCCAGATCTACCTAATTAATCTTCCTAAGGTCCCCAGGTGGAAAGAGGTGAGAGGTCTCACGGTGTCTCGGGTGAGGAGGTGGAGCTATAGAAAGCATCGTGAAGGGGTCCGCTATAGGGATGTAGGGGTCCGCTGTAGGGATGTAGGGGTCCGCTGTAGGGATGTAGGGGTCCGCTGTAGGGATGTAGGGGTCCGCTGTAGGGATGTAGGGGTCTGCTGTAGGGATGTAGGTCTTTGTGGCCTCAAAGCACTTGACTATCTTACTGAAGAGCCCGTAAGCTTGGATGTTCATTGCCGAATGAACAAAGGGACAGGATTTGTGGCTGAGTGTTCTCTGCCTCTCCACCCTCCCCCACCCACATTGGGCTCACGAAGTGAAGTTTTGGGATTAGGGGATGCCAGCAAAGAAACCCACAGCTCCCGGCTCTCTGCTTGGTAGTCTCTGAAGCAGCAATGATATGGATAACTCAGATTTTCCATTTCTCACTTGACCCACTGCCTTCAAGTAGCACGTCAGCCCTTGGCCATAGTTTTCTCCTAAGTTTGGTTAGCTGAATAGTGTGGCTTTGTGTGAGGTATTTTTTTGGAAGGGGATATTGTGTGTAGTAAGCAAGGGTCCTCCTTGATTGGATAGTCTATTTTCATAGCTTCTGCCTGTCAAGGCAACCGGAGATGGGCTAGAAGCCTACATCCTTTGTATCAAGAGAGATCTAAAGCTGGCAGGATCTGCCCTGCTGCCTGGAGCACGGCTTCTATTCATTTGAAAACATCCCATTGGCCTGAAATACGTGCCCCATGGTTACAAACACATCTCAGAGACAGAGCGGATAGCAATGTCTTGATCAATAACTGATGAGCAGGAAGAGGTGTTTGTGCAGTCTGAGAAAGCTTCCCAAAATAAATAAATAAAGCCCAAGTCATGCTTCCTGAATTTGACAGTCTTGTGCTGGGACATGAGAACTTTGATAAAATCGCGTCCTCAAAAGATCTAATCCCTAAGAGAAAACTGAGTCAATTAATAAACTGATTTTGTGTGGGGGTGAACTACACCTTCTGAGCGGTTGTGGTAAAAACTCATTTCTGATTCTTGTTACTCAAGTGAAGTTGTCGTTTGTTGTATTGATGATGCTAAGGTCACTGCCTGTTTAGAAAACCGTACAGTGTATGCTGGGGTGGGGAGGGCAGCATTTTATCTGACGTGAGGATTTGCTATGCCAGTTGGATGGTCCTTGGGTGCTTGAGTCTGTGGGTCTTCCCTCCCACTCTCCCTCTCTCCATCCCTTCCTCCTTCCTGTCCTCCCCCTCCTTCCTCTCTCCCTCCCCTTCCATCCTTCCTTCTTCCTCCACTTTCTCCCCCGTACCCTCATCTGCTAAATAGCAAAATGTCATCAGCGTCTCATCTGAGTGGCACTGGACTGTGAGTTAGTTTTACACATTGAGCATCTTCATCATTCATGTCTATGTGTGCCCCACAGTGGGTGGGAGAGACACGCAGTAATAGCTTCCACTGTAGATGGCTGTGGTGGAATGCTCCATTGTATCTGCACAGCATTCCTTCACTCAACTCCCCAGACTCCCCGTTACATTCTGACATCTGCCCCCCCCCCCCACTTCCCAAGCCTTTCAATTCCCCACACGTACATCCTCCCCACTCCTAGGCTATAGCAGCAAAGTGTGGCTAAGTCTGTTTGGTATTAGAGTTAGAATTATTTATATCTTGGAGCTCCAGCTTGTTTATGTGGTAGATTTCTGAGAAGGAAGTGATTCAGGAGTTCTATCTGCTAACAGGGCATCCAAGGGTCAGGCTGAAAACAAGTCCCGATGATAAGGTAAAACCCATACTCCCCAGAAAGCTATATTCCAGCTCTCGGACACCACAGGCCTTGTAGGGACAAGGCCTTGATGTCACACCAGGGCAGCTGGCCAAGGGCCTGTAAGTAGGTAGCACAGAACACCACCACATAATGCTCCTTCCCATGTCCTCCAGTAGCTCAATGAGCTCCACATAAACTCATCCTTGAACTGCCTACATTAAGGTTATTTCTTTTTCTAGCAGCGGTAATTAATAGCTCTTCTTAATCATTGAGTTTTTACTATGTACCAGATATTTTACATGTAGCTCTCATTTAATTCTACAACATAAGAAATTATATTATTCTTGTTTCATTAAAAAAAAAAAAACTCAAAGAAGTGAAATCTCATGGCATAAAAGCAGCAGGCTGAGTATGAAAAGCCAGGCTCATTCGGTATCTGAAGCTTCGAGTTCTTTGAGTTGCCCACCCTCAACAGGCTGCATTGAGATCAAGGCTGCTTGGAGGAGGTAGGGCCAACGTGGAGGAGGTGGGGCCAACGTGGAGGAGGTGGGGCCAACGTGGAGGAGGTGGGGCCAACGTGGAGGAGGTGGCGCCAACATGGAGGAGGTGGGGTTTTGGTGAAGAGACAAGACATAAATATCAAGAGTTTTGTTAATTTGGTGGTTTCGTCTTGATTCCAGGCTCCTGGCACTCCAAGGTTTGTGCAGTAGAATGGCCCTGGATTCTGGTCCAGGTTCTACCATAGAACTCTACCCTACCTTCAACTTGGCCTTGGGAAGACAGACCCTTATGTTAAGAACTGTTTATACGAGCAAATAGGATACATACCATGTGTGCAGTGGTTTGAATGAGAACGTCCCCATAGGGTCTGGTATTTAAATACTTGGGGGTCCAGTTGGTGGCACTGTTAGGGGAGGTTCAGGTGGTGCAGTCTCGCTGAAGAGAGCATGTCATTGGTGATGGGCTTTGAGAGTGGTACAGGCTCACTCCGCTTGCAGTTCTTTTTCTTTGCTTTGTGCTTGTGGTTGAGGATGTGAGCTCTTAGCTTCCTGCTTTGCCCACCATATCTGCCTGCTGCCATGCCTTCCTACCATAGGACTCATCCCTTTGGAACCATCAGCCCAAATAATGGTGCCTTCTGTAAAGTTGCCTTGGCCATTGTATTTTATTACAGCAACAGAAAGATAACTAACACAATATGTTGAGTCACGTGTTCACTATGGAATACCAGATCTGTGCCAAGCAGTGGGAAGACTGGTAAGCCTCCTGGATGGCCCCTGGGGTGCCTTGGAAAAGCAGGGCTCTTCCTATAGTCCTGGTCTCAACTATAGAAGTGAGAGCCTATGAAAGTTCCACTCCTCTAGAGGCAGGATGCACACAGGATTCTCAGCAAGTATTCCTCCATCTCCATCACTGGAGGTGGGAAGCCAGGGCACCAGGTAAAGAGGCTCTCTGCTGAGCATCACCTTCTGCTAGAAAGTGGGGTGTAGAGACCAGAATTCCAGGCTGCTTTTACTCTGCATCATATAATGGATTTTCCAGCCATTTCAACCCTTGCAGCCCAATTTGGACAAATTCAGCCCAAAGGAGACTTTCTCTGTCACTTTCTCCGTCACACCTCTGGACAGCTCCCAACCCAGTCTACACGTCCTCTAGGCCATGGGTATCTCTTATTTCACACAGAGTCCCTGACACCCATTCCTCACCCCCACTTTGAAACTGCATACTGATTATTTATCTTTCTCCCTTAACTGCCAACTTCATTTTCAGCCCAAACAGCTGCCAAACACAGCACTGGCAATCGATATATATTTATTAAAGAAATGAATATGCAGTAACACATGTCAAAGAGTTGCTGACAGTCCTCAAGAAGATGGACAGCTTCGGGCAGCGGTTGCTTAGAAGCCGAGCGCATGTTAAAGGGTAACCTAAGGTGAATCCTACTGCCTGTTGCGGTGTCCCGTCTTCCACGTATACACGCCAGCAACTCAAACTATTCTACAGTGTGTGGGGTGGGGTGGGGGCTGTAATGAGAAACACCTAGCTCGGGAGGATGTCCTAATGTTAGCTAGTTTTGTCCCATCCATCCCTTGTTGGCTCCTTGCTTTTTTCTTCTTACTCTCCTTTCTTCTTTGCCTTGACACCATCTAGCGCAAGGGCCACAGGGAGATGACTTCCTCTGGGTCAGAGAACGCCTCCACCGTTCAGCCCTCCAAGCTTTTCAAATGTTTGTAGCAATGCACTTTTGTACCCACGATGTACTAGAAAGA